ACTGGAGGTCTCCTGAGAACTACTCTCACCTGAGTTATTCTTTGATTCTCTAATCAGAGCTTCTCTCTTTTCCTCACTACTTCTCTTAGAATATCACATTATTAAATAAATCAGTACACAATAATCCAACAGAATGAGCTGAAAAAATGTTAACTCTTTACTGGATATCATCAAAACTCTTTTCTCCCTCTAAGTCAGCCAACCCCCTCCCTGTGGATGACTAAATCACTGCCCCAGTGACATCAGCCACAGCATTTCTATTGCTGTGGACACGTGCTAATCACTCAGACTCAAAAACATTTGTGCTGCTTTATAAACATGCTGCGGAGCCTGGAAAGGAGAGGATTAGAAACACGCAGGTTCCAGCATCTGAAATTTATCACCTCATGAAAAGCTCTGATGTGATGGTAGCTAACGACAGGAGGAAAAATAAATGGAGAAGATCTATGGGATTAGTCAGTCATACTGGGGAACATACCTCACCATGCAATGAGGGGGACATTCACAATCATTCTAATCACACTCCTCCTCATCAGCAAAACATACGGCAGCCTTCCCTCGCCATTCATTCCCAAATCAGAAGTGGAAAAAACAACTGGAGTATCTCAAGTGCTGCTGGCACCAGCATACAGAGGAGGTGGTTCTGCAATCTAATGCATTCACTATGTCATTATTCACATTATTGCCAAGAGAAGTATCTTGACCATCTCTTCTGCCAACTATCAGCACTTCAGGTACATCTACAATAAGGCTGAGCTGGCTTATTTAAGTGAGAGTAGGATGAGGATCCTTGTAGAGGATCAGAGTCAAGTCAGCTTTAATTCTGAATTGCTTTCTGTGCATCCACACAAGGAGATGTATGATCTAATTCTTCAAGCAAAGTCAGGGATAACTTGGCTCTCTGCTTTTCTAAAGGATAAGAATTAGACTCCAATGACTAATTCCTTTCTCCAATTCATATTTGTTTATTATTTTTCCAGGCCACACAAATAAATGTTTTGCTGAAGTAGGAGAAAAATATCTAATTGACAATATCTTGTAACACAGACAACTAGGACATGGAGAAATGGTTGGTTTGGTTAGGGAAGTAAGTTAAGAGCAGTCTTGGAAATTCTCTGTATCAACAGAAGGAGACCAATGTATGTCTTTCAAATTCCCAGCAAGCTTTGCATGATGGCTTCTGGTCTGAAATAAGCTCTTACTCACAAAGCAGAGGTAGAAAAGTTTAGAAAATGATCAATTCCTCAGCCTAGCCTTAAGAAATTGAATTATATTTGGAAGAAACACGCTTGAATTAAACTAAAGCTTACTGCTGATCTATGAAGGCTGGAACAATTATGTCCCCTGGAAAGATAATTTTAAAAAGGTACTAAGACCATTAACTATTTGGACAGAGAGATGTATCATTAGCTCTGTCAGACAGACCTCCAACCTTTGCCCTAGCTGTTAATACAGAAAGCATAACCATCAAGTTTTAAGAAAGCTTTAAGCAACATCTCTAATAGCTTTTTTCTTTTTTAAAAATAATTCCACTGGAAGACACCAAAAGAACAGTCATCTCACTGCAAGTTTTCCTTCCCAATCTAGCTGAATTTCCAGTACGCTTATTTTGGCACACTGATTTCTTATCCCATGTTCCTCTTGCTCAGCAGACATAATCTTATCTCTGTCTTTGGACAGCTGAAGTAGAGCCTTTACAGGAAAGATTAGCTCAGCTGTCTTGCCTTTAAACTTCTGATAAAAGCCATTTTATGTCACAGTCCACCGTGGATTTCTGTTACTCTGAGTAATTTAAAGAGGAGCAGGTACCTTCTAGGAGGATGTACGTACGCGGAAGAGATAAGACATATGGACATGTCAGCCCAGAGATGCCATGGTCTGAGCATGCCACACTAGATCTGTCAACAGACACAGGACTTGGTTTTTCTGAGCTAACAAGCCAACCTTTTCAGCATAACACAAAGTGTCTCCAAGAGAGACGTGACATAGTGCCAGCATGGGACTGAAATCACAGGGAAATCATTAAAAAGAATTGCATTGCAATTGACAGTCTCAAGACCAAAGGACAGACTACGTATGTTAACTGGGTAGAAAAAACCTTCTGTCAGAAAACCAGCGACAGAAAGGAACAGAATCTATTGCAAACTCATTTGATTAAATATATCTGCTTCTGATGGACTAACTGACTCCAGAAACTATAAGATAAAATAAAACCCATTTCACTACAGCACATCCCAGATCTAGATTTGCACAGAGGAGACACTCTCAGGATGAAGTTACATGTTATGCCTTTAGATGATTTAACACCTAACCATACGCTAATGGCAAAGATCCTATTCGTGCCTCCTCCCCTACAACATGCAGAGTATTCCCTTCCTCCCATTTCACCAGCATTCACCAAAAAAACCTACTGAGCTGATTCAACACTGACTGGAATGTGCTAAAATGAACAATTTTCTGTGGGACTGGCAAGCTGAATTAACTCAGTGAGGAGTCAAACAAGTGCTAAAGCAATGGGACTTCACCCTAAGATATTGAGATTGGTCTTGTGCCTCTCCTCCACCATACAGGTGTTAAAAGACAGCACAGGTAGAAGCAGTTGGGGATCCTGATCAATAGAAACTGAAATAGAAACTGAAGCTGGAGCACAGGAGGTTCCATGTAAACTTAAGGGAAAACTTTTTCACTGTGAGAGTGACAGGACACTGGGACAGGCTGCCCAGAGAGGTTGTGGAGTCTCCTTCTCTGGAGATATTCAAAACCCACTTGGATGCGTTCCTGTGTGACCTACTGTAGGTGATCCTGCTCTGGCAGGGGGTTGGACTAGATGATCTTTCAAGGTCCCTTCCAGTCCCTAACACTCTGTGATTCTGTGAAGTTGTAGAAATAACAAAGTAGGAACTGCAGACATCGATGACCTTCCTATAGTTTTGATGCATGACTCCTTTAAACCTACTGGGCTCCTACACACTCAAATACTCTCTCTCCCCTCCCTTCCACATTTCTTCACTTGTCACACGTCATCTATCCTCTGAGCTTTACCATCCCCAAAGCCTTATAGTCTTTCCTTAGTGTTTCTTCTTCCCCACTTAAACTCATAATGGCACTAACAACAACAACATGCACATGACACTCATCACCATTGCAATAAATAAACTGGGCACACACATCCCACCCCTTCCTTTTTCCATTTATTTACACTGTTCAGGAGACTGCTGAGGATGACAGGGTGCTGGAGTAACTACCACAAACACACAACTACTGCTAAGTGTCTTCTGATTGACCTGACATAGTCAATACACAACATTTTCCCCTCTATATTAAAAGATCTCCCAAACCAACCAACCAACAACCCACCAACACCATAGCCCCTCTCATAACTTCCTTTCTTCCAATGTTCAAAGCTGTGTGCAATTCCAATTAATCTCTTTGATGGACTGGAAAATAAACACACTGCTTTTCTAGAAAATAATCCATTTCAGCACACCAAGAAGACAGTAAAACTAGTTACCAAAAGGGAACCAATTAGAAATTGTCTGCATCAGACCTATTGCAGATAGCGAGCCTCCCCTTCGCACCCCTGGTTTTTGCAGGACTCTATGTATTTACCTGTGGCACAAAGAATCTGAGCTAACACTCAATACCCAAGTAGCTACCCCTTTGTATTACCAAGGGAGACAAACACTGGCTGCAAAAGCACCTGGGCAGAAACATAAGCAGAACACCGAGGTGATGAGGAATAACGTGCTCCTGAATGTCAAGGTACTGTAGGATTTTCAATTTCATAACATCACAGCTTCTGTCTCACATTGCAGCAAAATTAAATAAAATGTACTCGGAACCAAAGTTCTGTTGTCATTAGCATGCAAAGAAAATGAGATTATTTAAATTCACCCATCTGTTCTGGCCAACTATTTGTGAGTAATTCTCAATATTTCAGTCACCTGCAAAAAAGACAGTGAGCTCTAGGCACAAACGGTTCCTAAGCAGTTAATATTCAGGATCGCAGATGATTAAGCCACACAGTGTTTCATTCTTTCAGTGAGCTTTGTTACTCATCTGGCTTCCTGGCTGCTTTTTGTCTCTAGCATTTCTCTCCTGTTTCTGGCAGATGAAGTGGAGGTGGAGAAGAAAAGGGAGGGAAGTTCTTGGGCAGCATAAGGATTATAGTAATTTCCAATTCTTCAGCAAGGAAGGGGTTGCTCAGGGAACAGATGACCTAATGCTGCTACCTACTCCTCCACTCCACTTTATTTTCATTTTTTTTTTTAACTTAAGTTTATAGGTGTTTGAATCAATCAAGTTATACAACCCAGGGACAAAGTTTAGTACATTTATCTCCTTTCTGCTCCCAAATCCACAGAGAAGATACTTCCCACCCACACATTTCCTCTGCCTTTTTGTTGTTGCTGTGAGCAATTTAAACCAGAAAACTGCAGTTCAGAGAGATCCTCAATCATGCACCTACAGGTCAGTGACACTTGGTTCACACCCAAGCTTGACGTGAATGTAGATGCCACTCATCAAAAAGACAGTTATGCCACGGATAACAAATCATCCCAACTCCTTAAATTAAACAACAGTATTAGCACAGGGACAAACTTACTTCCAAAGCACTCTTGGTATTCTGCCTGATTACCTACCCTTGTTCAAAACAAAGGGAGAACTGTCCTCACAGGGCTCTACTTCTGTTTCCTTTCAGCGTTCTGAAATAAGAGCTGTTTAAGATCTTGCATTTTGTTTTCAATTGGAAAGGTCACCTGGATTGGGTTGTAAAATAAGTCTGTAGGCTTTTTTTTTTAAGAAGGAGGAAGGGAAAAAAAAAAACTGGGAAGAAGGGAAAGGGAAGTTTATTGCACCTTCATTCTGAAATTAGAAAAAGTCTTAGAAATGTTATGGAAAAGGTGGAATTAGTGAAAGAACAACACTCTAAAAGCCTACAGAATCTAATTCTCTCTTCAGCACTAGAAAACACAAATGGGAAAGTGATGACTACTTACATATAATATGTAGGATATAATCCTTCAAAGTACCAGCAATGCTTTTTGGCCTCTGTACACTACAAAGAAAAAAAAGTATGGTATTAATATTTACACAGGACAATGTACAATTCTAAGCACAAGCATCGAGTATTTATAAATACTGTGACTTTGAGCAATTAGAAAAAGTTTCTGTTGGCAAAGATTTCGCAGTCCTGACACACAGAACAACTGGGAAGTCAGTCCATCTGAATGGCAGCGTGCCCTGTCAGGGTTCAGATCTGTCACACAGGGCTCTCTCTCTGCGGGGCCCCACAGCTTCCTACGATTCACGACCAAAGTCAATAGATTCAGTGCAGACACAGGATCCAGCCTCATGTGTTCCCCAGCAGAACCAGTGTTTTAAAAGACCAGGGAGAACTTAAGAACCCATCATGGCTGTAGGCACTTAAGAGACCTCCAAGGCATAACTGGTTTGATGACGCTATGCGTATGGCTACACAGTAAATTCAGTAATTGCAGGGAATTATTCATCTTTCTGGAAGTCTCTGGTGTGCAGAGCCAGGCTTGGAAAGGAGCAGAACAGAGGACCCATCCATCCCATCTCCTCTTCCTACAGCTTGGAAATGTCTCCAAGTGTTCAATAAAATACAAGGGAAAAGGAAACAGCTTTCTGCAGCCCAGGGGTATTGTTCTCTTTTGCAGATTGCCAGCGTATCCTCGTTAAAGGACGGCGACAGGCATTTTCTCAGCGTGTGTGTGCGCAGGCAACGTGGGAAGCGCACATCGTCACGGGTCCTGCCAGAGCACAGACGGCAGCTCACAACAATAGCAGCGCTTAAAAAAAGAAAACCAGATGTCAAGCCCAAACTCTATTATACAACACACAAAATATTTCTCCCTATCCTGCTGACAGCGCTAGCATAAAATGCCGTCTTCATTGCAGACACAGCTCCAGGAGCTCCACCACAAGCTGCATTATCTGATCACACACAGCCAGGGTGCTGTGGGACACCCTCCACAGAGCAGCAAGGAATATCTTGCTGGGGGTTTTAACAATTCCCTCTGCTACTCACACCTGACACCTGATGTCGGAGAGCGCTCGGCACACCAGCGGTGCTTGGATCATCCTTCATGTTCACTTGGCAGCTCACCTTTAAATAATAGCTCGTATAAGTTTATTAGCCTCCCTGAATCCCAGAATACTAAATGAATTCAGTTACGACAAAGACAAAGTGTTTTTAGATCCCCGACTCTCAATCCTCATGAATAAGAAAGGCTGCAAGCTCTTTAATGAGCATCTGATGAGCTAAATCACAGACAGATCAATTACAGCCCATGAAGACAAACTGCTATGGATTAAATTGTTAAGACCAGTACAGGAGACTGGGGGAGGAGGAGGAGGAGAAGATGCTTTTGATGCATGCCATCAGGCCTTTCCACTAATACCACAAGATCATGCCAGTCTTCAAGATGGACAAGCTTTAGCTTCTGTTGAAAGGAGTGGAGGTTTTTCCTCGGGATAAACACAGCAGAAGCCTTGTTCACCTCTCGAATCGATGCTGCGGTTCAGGCAGTAGAGGCAGGAGGGCTCTGCAGCTGCTGCTGGAGCAAGTGGAGTTCAAAGATCTATCTCCACATTTGCCCTATTCCCCCTTATAACCTCCTCCTTCAAAGCTTCATAACCCTTCCTTCTGAACCTTCCCATCAGCTTGCAGTTTCCTCTTACTCTAAAATGAGAAATATGCCAAGTTTCTCCCTGTAACTCTCCACAAACACATATGCATTGTCAACCCAGCAGGTCTGCTGCCAAGCCCGTGAAAAATACTTCAGCTCTTTACCTTTGAAGGCTGCAGATGAGCAAGTCCTGGCTAAAATCCCAGTGCCTACAGATTGACCCCTTGGGAAGCCTTATTTCAGAGTCCAGCTTGGGGTGTACACCATTAAATGTTTTTCCTTCCTGCTTCTCAACCAATATGAGTCACTGTTTACCTCAACAGCCTTAAAGCCTTCGTCAGTCTGGAGCGTTTTAATTGATGTTTTCCCAGCAATGTTTCTGTGCAGTTGGAGCCTGCATACGCTTGACAAGTGTAAAGGAGACATTTATATTCAGCACTCATTCTGCTCACCCTCCTCTTTGTATATTAATCCACTTTACAAGTTCTAAAATGAGTTGGGAAGATGCCTCCTTCCCACATCTCCCAAGTTGTAAAATTTCTCTTTCTACCTCTTAATAACTCTCTGTTTCACAGAGCCAAGATGCTTACTGCTATCACAAGAAAGGCTCCAGCCTAGGACATTTTTGCCACTAACAGTTCCCTCTAGCTTACAGGGATTAGATACCTGCACTAAAAAATTCTTTGGAGCACAGAATTTGCTTTTATATCAGTCCCAAAACAGTAGGTACCAATCCCAATTCTGCCTTTTTTATTACCACAGCACTAGGAATACAGCACGGCAATGTGTGCTCGCAGCCCAGAGACCAACCATACCTTGGGCTGCACCCAGAGCAGCGTGGGCAGC